CTAACTCACCGGCGTGTGGCTTAAGTACGGCTGAGCGGACGGGAAGCCCTGTTTTCCACACCCTGTGGTCGTATGTATCGTGAATATCATATGTTAAAATGATATCGTAATCAGATGAAAGCGCGGTGACAAGGGAGTTAGCAGGGATATCTAGACCGGCGCAGTGACCCGATTATATCTGTCAAATACAAATGAAAGGAGTGCATGCTATAACATGAAGTGCTTAATGTGTGGAATGGAGACTCTAGTTTGCACAAATCGTTTGAACATTGATAATAAAATTTATAAAGTGCACAAGCCGCAGCTTTGATTAGTCTCGACCGTGCATATAAATGTAGGGAGTACAACCTTTGCCTAGAGGGTCTGGGTCTGATCCTTGGCCGGCACATTATCAATTATGACTGTATTCCCTGCGTCGACATCCGTAGCTTCTGGAGCTTCTGGCACCATTCGAATCAAAAGGACCATGCAGGGAACAGTTATAATCAAGATGGCGAAGTTGACATAGAAAGGTACTATCGGATCTGCACCGGAAGTCGAGTTAATGGCATATGAGACGGCCTGTCCCGCTGTTTCGAAGGCACGGAATAGACCGCCGGTTCGCGAGGAGGATCCGATATCAGTAGAAAAAGTGCCAAGGATCCAATATAGAGATAGCTGGGTCCAATAGCCAGTTGTGAAGATAATTAAATAGGGAACGTAGGCAACAGCCCATCTTCCACGATCACTTTAGAACCAAATTAGTGCCCGACAACCAAAGAGCAGGCAGATTGAAACTTACTTTTCATAGTCCAATCCAAGTGTCGCGGACCCAAACTGAGAGTATTGTATGCCGATCCAGATGAAGCAGCCAGTTTGAGGGATGACCCAGAGGGCGAAGGCAATCCATGCTCGCTTGGGTTGAGACCAGCGCGTAAGATCAAGCAGCCTTCCATATGCGATGACGATTGGGATAGTGACCGATGCTAAACACGTATTAGAAATAATCACTGATTATGGTAGGGAAAGCACTAACGAATGATCAAAGACGACAACGCACGAGCTCGCACTGAGAAGTGCAGTGAAAGATACGTGCCCATTGTTCCACCGTAGAAGAATGAGTAGAAAGCGGGCAAGAAAAGGAGCCATGTCTGAGGTATGATAGTTAGTTGACGGCCGTGATGATTGTTCATGAAGACAGGCAAACCTTCTTCCGTTGTAGATGCTTGTACAAAGCAGCAAACTCCTGTTTCCAGCTAATGCTAGTAGACATGGTGATCTTGGTACCATCACGGCGGCGAACACGCTGGGTTGGTGATAGCAAGAAAGCCCAGATCACGCCGGTACACTCTGGGAATTTCTGTGTTCAGCAATTGCACCATTGGGATACTCTCATTATCGACTCACCGAAGCCCACGAAGATAAGATAGGTATACCACGCAATGCCTCCGACGGAAGATCTGGAGTAATTCGTAGAGAAATTGATTGCACCGCCCATGACGCTGCCCGAGCTTCGCATGGCGGACCATATGCCTAACCCGAAGCGTCAGTTTCGAATTTCACTTGCAGTACATTAATTGACTTACCCAAGTAGAAGCCTCTGTCATCTTGTTTCGGATACGACAGCATCGCCGTGGTTTCCGCGACGTAAAGGAATGCCAAGGCGAAACCCGAAATTATCTGGAGACTTTGTTAGGACTGAAGAATATTCAGAGAACAGAATGTGTTATTTCACCTTCGAAAACAGCAGGTACCAATCCACACCGTACTTTGCACTGACGTAGTACGAAGACCCCGCGAGAGGCATCGACACCGCAGCAATCATGCAAGACCACTTGATGCCGAACTTGTTGACCAATGGGCCTCCCATGAAAGCTATCAAGCAAGACGCCGCATAATCGAGTGAGTTTGCCAGATTGCCCAGGTATGGAGTTGAGAGACCGCCTCCACCGAGGTTGGATATCGCATCGGAAATTGCTGGGCCCACGAATGACAGCCTATCGAATAGTTGGTCAATGGAAAAAATCGTAGGACGGTGTAAAATTGACTCACGCTCCGAACAAAATCATCTGGAAAAGAACCCCCCTGTAAAACCTCGAGAAAGTCGATGCTTGTAGGTAGCCATCGTCGAATTCTTCGATCTGACCTCTTTCGTTGCTATGGCTGTCTATGGTGGCGAGTGCGGGTGATGATGGGACTTTGTTGTCATCTTTGGCCGTTGAAGTGTCCATGGCGCGGAAGGGGACAAGGGAAGACAAACTCGAATGGAAAGGAGAACAACAAGTTCACAGATCTCGAATAATTATATTTCTACAAATGAGGGGACGGTCACGGGTCGCCTATATGTTGAGATGGCTTTCGGCCCACGCCAAGTAGTTGACCTTGACGATGGCTGCTCTATCAATTGAATCCACGTCAGAGAAAGATAGCGAATTCAATTTGATATCTCCTGCCTTATCTCGATTACGTCCAATTCGCCTGGAACCCGACTTCTAGTTCAATAGATCTTGCCTTTTCCCAAGGCTTGGTGACACCGTACTTTGCCACAACGGCTGCCGTTGTATCATCTGCATCGGTTGCATAGAATTGCAATTACCAACAGATAAGCAGAACCGAGTCCGACTATCAATAAAGTATATGGCTTTCGAGTTAATCACGAGTAGCTGTTTTTCCCGTCCGGAGAGTAGTCAAGCTGGGGTATGGGGGTGGCGTACATCCTGTATGACCTAGATAGGAAATTTCCTTCCGGTCACCAACCGGCGACAGACCGGAGATAGAGAAGCTTATTGAGATTGGGGAAAAGAGGGGTTGTGTTGATCGCCAAGTAAGCTACGACTGATCCGGCATCTTCACTGGCTATAACTCCGCACGGATGTCGGATCTGTTGTTGAATGACGAATGAGCTTGCGACGAATTGAAATTAGAACTGGATTTCACCGCATTGAACATGAAGAAGCTAAGTATGGGATCAATAATGTACAAAAAGTACTTCAGGCATTTGATGAGCTTGAGATGGGCTCGGTCCCAATCCTTTTAAACTGCCTTGTTGGAGTCTTTTGAGCGAACAAATCATCCAGCTCACCAAAGGTTCGACTTCTTAGCTCTGGAACCTCAAACCAAGCCCAGATCAAACTCACAAACGAAAGAGCCATCCATACGAATGCTGCCTTTCCCCCAAGATTGGCTGAGATAGATAGTGTCAGCTTTCGGATTTCAGACCAGAGAGCAACCGCCATTGTGAAGACTTACCTTGGTCGGTGTTGATGAGATACGGTGCGACAAAGTTCATCGCCCAACTAACCAGAGCATTTGTCACGATTGCCAAACTTTGCGTTTTGGCTCGGGCTTTGACAGAACTGACTTCGGCACTGATCGTCCAACTCACGGCCCCTACCGTGGGAGAGTAGAATAGTTGGGCAAAATTCATCACGTAACCAATGTAGTACATCGCAGCCGTTGTGGTGAAACAACCGGCGACACCTACCGACAGCAGACACAGAGCGTTTAACATAATGCCGGTCAGAAGAAGTGGCCGACGACCTGTTCAAACAGAGTATGTTAGACGGTACACTTAGAGATATCAGTCTGAAAAGTCCAACTTACCAATGTAATTCATGATAAACCACGAGACAATGTTTCCGAGCATGGCGACACCGAATCCCCCAAGAGCCAACTGGAAGGTGAGAGCAGTTGGTAGACCTATGATACCAAGGAAGTATAAAGCTTGAGAATAGAATGCGATACCGGTAAACTGCTGCACGGCAAACATTCCACACGAGATGCGAGTCCTGCGCCAATCCGTGCCCTGGAAGCAATCCCAATACGAGGTATCCTTTTGGATATTCGCAAGAGAAGTCTCGGCAGCAATGGAAGTTTGAATGTCCTCCAAAATCAAATCCGTGTTGGCTGATTTCAGATGAAGTCGTTGCAGGCTCTTCTTTGCCTGTTCAATTTTGCCTTTGCGGCAAAGATACCACGGGCTCTCTGGCATGAAGAAAGAAAACAGCCCAATGAAGCATGGGAATGCCCACTGAGCAGCAAAGATCACCTTGTAAGATGCTGGTGTCATTATGGTGAAGCGGGTGTTTCCAACGCCAATAGCAGTGAGTTGACCAGCATTGACGAACAGATTGACAGCGGCTGTCAAGGAAGGACGCAGTGCGGTGGGTGCGATCTCGGATGCGTATATAGCTCCCAGGCTAAGGAAGAAGCCAAGAGATATGCCGTTGATCTAGGAATGAACAATCAGTATCTTCAACAGAGTGAAAGGCATAAGAGAGACAACTGACGATTTTTCCAGCCAGAAGCATTCCCGGCTCGTTTGCAGCATATTCGAGTCCAACTCCGAGAATAGATATCGCAGAGCCCATTCCGAATCCAACTCGACGACCGCCACGGTCCGAGATCCAACCAGATACAAGGCTTCCTGTTCCCGGCAAGGTCAGAAAAAACAAGAGTGATTCATAACGAGCTGACGAACTTACCAATCAACATCCCGAGGGACGTCATGGCTGTCCAGAGAGCATTCCAAGTGGCTGAGATTAGAAGTTGGTCTCCGTACTCGTAGCCAAAAACCATCTTGAATCCAGGCAAAGCAACGGTGATTGAGTTGACTCCTGAAAAGGCCGTCAGTAAGATCAATAGACTTTGTGACGTGAGCACAGAAGCAGGCAAATACCAATGTCAAACCCCCAAAGCATAGAGCTCACACAAGCAGTGACACTGTATATGATCACGATAGGGTGCTTCTTCGCTGAAGCCCACGCGCCCTCTTTGACCTCTGCACTTTCTGAAGCTTGCGGAACCGTCTCCAGCATCTCTGAAGAGGCTTCCTTTTTTCCATCTCCGAGTGGACCTGAGTCAACAGACATACTGCGATTTGAGGCAGCCATAGCAAGTGATAGCAAGACAACTGACAAAATCAGAGCAGAGTCAAAAGGCGATTTGCTTGCTGACCGTGCAAGCTGAATGCAGATGATATAGATCAATCTGAGACAGCGATGTTCGCCAAGTCAAGCCTGCCATATATGTGAATACGGTATTCAACCTCGTCACAAGGATGTGGAGAAACTGGGGAACTCGGAGAAGCCGAAGTACGGGGTAGTCGTATGATAGAATTCCCGCGAAAATCTAGCGAGGGTGGAGGTGGAGGTCAGGTGGAGGGTCTGCCGAATTCGGTTTGCGATGTTTCTAGGCTAGTCCCGAGGCCCTTTCCCTCACCTCTTCCATGCCTGAAAAGATTTCGGAAATTCCACCGCAAGGAAACTATCGAGAGTTAGCCATCGATTTTTAGTTCCACGGGATATTTTGGAGTATAACCAAAGTACGAGTGCAAGGATGCAATGATCAGTTTTGGCAACTTTTCTTTGATTCCAACCGATGTGCAAAGTATCTATGAGATTTAACCTTAGAAAGTATAAGTTATTATGCATGACTCAAGGATGTGAAGTAGTCATAGCCCATTCCATGTCCCTATATCATCAATGCGCAGAGAGGCTGCGCATGTCCCAATAGTGACCTTGTAGGTGCCGTTGAGGGATCGCCAGCACCTATCCACACTATCCCAATACCCACTAATGTCTCGCTGAGAGACAGAGAGACCAATTCGTCTCGTTTCATTTGGTTCAAGCCAGACTTTCTCGAATGAGACCAGCTCGGCACGCGGTCTCCATATCATGGGGTCAACTGGAGGGTTACTATAGACTTGAACAACCTCATAGCCCGCCATGCGGCTGGCATTTTTGACATCAATCGCAATAGTGACGGTCATTGCAGAATTATCCCCGGTCGTAATACTCCGGATTGCTTCATGGCAAATAACCTTCAAGTTGTCATACTCAAAGGAAGAGTAAGATAAGCCATGTCCAAAAGGCCAGCGTACCGATGAGGCGGTCTCCATGGATCGATATCCCATCTGCAGACCTTCACGGTAACGAATCACTGGCCCGTGGCCAATGTCTTTTGCAGGGAAATCTCCAAACGATGGAACGGAGGCCTCGTCAAGACGCAAGGGCCAAGTTGTAGCCAGCCTTCCGCTTGGATTCGTTTCTCCGATTATTATATCGACGATAGCTTGCGCGCCCTCTTGTCCCGGAAAGTGAGCCGCGACCACTGCATCGACATCATCAACGAAGTCCGAGACATCGATGGGGTTGCCACAATGTAAGACAAGAATTGTTTTCTTGGATACGCTGGTGACGGCTTTGATCATCCGGACTTGGCTTTCGGGGAGTTTCAGGGTTTGTAGATCGAATCCTTCAGACTCGTGCTCATGTGTCCGACCGGCGATTATCACGCTGACGTCTGCGTGAGCTGCGACCTTGGCGGCTTCAGCTATGACGACGCGATCATTATGCTCCTCTTCGAAGCACAACTTGGCTGAATGCGGAGATATTTCACCATGTGCCGATGCGACGTCGCGTGAATGGGTGCGCAGTTTGATCCGGTAGGGCTTTTGTGCCTCCATTTGGAACTCAATCACACTTTCTAGTTTCTTCGGCTCAAACAAGAAGTCTTCGACCGTCATGACAGGGACGGGCTTGGAAAGTACCTGCGTGAAGTTTCGTTAGCTTTCGGATGATTGTCACGGTCGCGAAGAAAAGAGGGAGACTCACTTCGACATCCTCTATCAACAACGTGAATTCGCCTGTCGCTTGTACGGCCAGCTTGTGAATTCCACTTGTCTTCGCTTTGACAGTAGTTTCCATGACGAAGTAGAATCCGTGTTGGGTCAGATTTGGCTTCAATTTGCCCAGCATCACTACTACTGGCTGTTCAGACTGCTCGGAATACACAGGTGTATCATTTCCATCAAGATAATAGTCCACATTGACACCCGGAGAGCCGTTTCGTGATTGCATCATGTCAATTGGCATGAGAGGGACGACATAGTGAGGGTTAACTCCGTATGCAAAAGAGACCTGCTCGGGATGTTCGCAGGCATCTTGGAAACATTGCAGAGGCGTCTTGATATATTGAGGATTGGCACAGGCGCTGCCGCCACCGGTGATGGAAGGCTTGATGGCGGCTGACCCGATAAGCGCTATCCTCGGCTTTTCAGCCATTTTTAGAGGAAGGGCATAGTGGTCGTTCTTCAAGAGGACAATGCCTTCAGAGGCAGCTTTCAATGCCATCGCACTAGTCCGATCACAGACCAGTGATTCCTCCTCCTTATCACTATGGCTGCCAGCAGTACGGTCGATCATTGTCAGCACGTTGTGCACGGCTGTGTCAACTGACTCCTCGGAGACCTCTTTGCGATTTATCGCATCCACCAGCTTGGCGCCCCGAAAGACGGATGGTCCTGGCATCTCCAGGTCCAGACCGGCATCCAGGGCTTCAGTTGTGCTCTTGGTACCGTACCAGTCAGACATCATGCACCCATCGTATCCCCAATCTCTCCGTAGCAAACTGTTAATCATGGGAGTCTGGCTGCAGAAGTGACCATCAAGGGCATTGTATCTAAGACACATTGTTAGATACTTCGATTCAGCACTTCTTATTGAAACGTACTCACGCTGTCATGATGGCAACTGGGTTGGCTTGACGAAGTAAGTGCTGGAATGTCCGCAAGTAGATTTCACGCATCGTTCTGTTGTCTCCCGATTCATCCACATTGTAGCGCCTGCGCACCGTCTCACTCTCATTCGCGACAAAATGCTTCACGCAAGCACCCACGCCCTGCGACTGGATTCCGCTGACGATGGCTGCAGCCAGCTGGCCCGTGAGTAGGGGGTCCTCGCTGAAAGCTTCAAAGTTGCGCCCAGCTCTCGGATCTCGGTGAAGATTAATGTTGGGACCCAAGACAACCTGGACTGATTTAGCTTTGGCTTGAATGGCGACTTCCTGGCCAAATTCTCGCATCAGTGTTGTGTTCCATGTTGACGCAAGGCAAGTGGAGCTCGGAAAACACGCAGTCCCGGTGTCTTCGAGGTGCGACTGTGAGCCGCGAACGCCATTGATCGAGTCGCTGACCTGCCAAACTCAATTCAATTAGATTTTATCCTTCCGCACTGGAAAATGTAAATATTACCTTTAACGACGGGATGCCGAGTCGCTCAACACCTGCAGTGCTGGTAAAGCTGACACCAGAAAGGAGGGATATCTTCTCTTCCAGAGACAAGAGATGTAGCTGGTCCCGATATGGGACTTCCGGGTCCAACCCATTGGTCGAAATGAAAGCTTTCACAGTAGCCATCGAGGATGCAAACATTAAAATTCATCAAAAAGTCGCGTGGACCGAGGCCGCGGAATGGTCTTAATATACGTCACCTCCATCGCGGAAGCTGCTTCAGATCTCGGGCCAAGCTACCCATGGTGGGTATTTGGCAAGAAGCCGATGAATGTGGAGGAAACTCGTCTGATCCATGCGAGTGCTTGTCGCCAAGGTTGTGTGGAGGGCCTTCGCCGGGACCTCGGGCAGAATCACGTGCCATCCACTCCACGCAGTCCCTCCACCTTCTCTGACCTCCACCTCACCATCACCTCACTCCGAAACCACCGACGTGATCCACTTTGGTGCCGGCATGGAGGCACGAGCAGCTAACCCTGCACACAGATGCACGCGGTGCGCTAAGTCGTATTCGCGTCGGGAGAATCTCATCAGACACATTCGATCAGCGCGTAAGACACCGGGTCTAGACCCCTAGCTCTCGAGCATCTCTAACCCGATATGCAAGATGATAAAAACAACACACCTTACGCTTGCTCATTGTGCCCAAGCCGCTTCACAAGGAGGTGAGGTTCATGGCGTACGAATGGTCCCTGGCCCATGCTCTAACGCTCTTGACATGCCAGCGACCTCTTATCTAGGCACCAGAAAATCCATCAAAGCGCCCATGGTGTTTCCGATGAAGGTGCAGATGGAAGCCCTCGTGATCTGAATCAAAGGCAGAATGACCCAGAGCCACGATCGAATACAAAACGCCTACGACAAGGTGCAAACGAAGATGCCATGCCAGGGGATACAACACCAAAGTTCCCTACTAGCACACGTGTATCCCCTTCAACCACAAAGACATCGGTGAATCGCCCTGGTACTGATGCAGTACTTCCACCGCCGAGATTCCAGGACAGCCGGCCTGCCTCGACTGATCAAATCGATGAAACAGAATGGGATTTCCAATGGCCTTTCTATGGTGAAGGTCTGCAAGACACGAGCCTTGACTGGACTTTAGACTTTCTGTCAAGCGGAATATCTACACACAGCCCTTTAGATCCGGTTTACGACGAAGAAGAAATTAATCCCTCAGCAGCGATGAGTCATTCGGTCTTCGACCAGCTATCCGGTGCTGATCCCTATCACCGCGGCGATTTTACACGAAAGTCTCAACCATTGCCCGAAGAAAGTGCTGGACTTGAAAGACCTACAAATGAAGCGTCGACTCGAGAAACGGCAGAGGAACCTGTCCGCGCCCATGCCCATCGACGAATTTCCTTCGTCGAGGATGCCGATATTCTTTACGAAAAAAGTCAAATTTCCGAGAAAGAGCGTCGAGCCATGGCGGATACTGTTATTGCACCGCTTCTCCAAAGCTTCTGCAGTGAAAAAGGAAGCCTCCCAGAGTCCTTCCCGTCGATACCGACAATAACGCACTTCATAAACAACTTCTTTGTTCATGTGCAGCCTAGGTTCCCAGTTCTCCACATACCGACTTTTGATTCCAGCAAATGCTCTCCAAATCTCTTACTAGCAATGGCAATAATAGGATCCAGCTACTCTGAGCTAAACCAGGGGAAATTCGCCTTGGCATATATCGAAAGAGCAAGAATGTCAATCAAATTGATGCAGGAAAAAGATCAAAGACACGTAAGACTGGAAACAATCTCACATTGTGATTGAGCCTAACCAAGTCTTCTGGCTTAGTTGCAATCAACAGAAAACCTTCTTGCCTTCTTCCTTGTCTCGGTGGCTGCGATGTGGGTTGGTCAAAAGACGGCGTATGAGCGGTTTGAGGGCGACCGTGGTGATCTTGCAGTTCATTGTCGGCGTGGTCAGTTACTGGACTGCCGGCCGAAGAATAGCACGGCCACTCGGCCTCCCTTCAGCCGCAACAGGACCCGCATGGAGGATACTTGGATGGAGTGGGTCAATGAAGAGCAGAAAAAGCGCCTCGGACTTTGCATATACGTAAGCCTTCATGCCCATTAACTGACTGAGACTGTCTGACTGACTGATCCGTCTCGATTTAGCTTGTTGACTGTCAAATGGCATCTTTCTTCCAACGGCAACCCTACATTAGCAAAGCCGAAACCGTGAATACTGCCTTACCGTGCTCTGAAACATTCTGGAAGGCACCGACAGCTTGGGCGTGGAAGTCCCTGCTCGGACCTGCCGAAATCCCACCAAGCACATATTTCCTCACCACGCTCACCACAATTCTCCTACACAACAGCATCCCGGACGTTCTACCATTCCCACCTCTGGATGATTTTTGCAAGACGATTTATATTTATGTCTTGCATTCTCACGTCTTCGAGTGGCGGCAGACAATATGTATGCTCAACCCAACGGGGCTTCTCAGCTCCCCTGTATCTTTGGCGCCGCAGAACATTGGAGACTCTCTACAAGAACGCCGAGATTGGCTGCTAGCCTGCCTCAAGAACTGGAACACTTTCTATGGAGATGGCAATCAGGCAGATCCCACCGATCGCAGCCCAAAGAGCTCGTCAGGAATTCTGCTGTATCACCTAGCGATAATGGCTCTTCATCTGAATTTTTCAGACCTACACGTCGTCGCTGGAAGATCTGGCTCCGATGCAGACATTGAGTTGGCCGAACAGTCTCTTAGAAACTGGCTGCAAGGAGAAAGAGCTCAAAAAATATTCGACTGTAATACTCAAATGTTGAATGCGGCCCATGATACGATTGTTGCTGGGGATGCGCAACAGAGCAGCTTCGAACTGGCTATTTGTCTGTTTATGGGAGGGCTCACTAGTTGGGCCATGTCGAGATTCAGTGGTCTTCTTCGAGTTTCCACATCGAGAAACCCGGAAGAGCACAGTGACAATCATCACGTACATCGGAGCAATCATGATCTGTTGGTTGAGAACTCGCCGGAGGCCAGAGACGCACTATGTGCTCAAGCTTCAGGTGCTCGCGACAGTTTGCGGGCTTTGAAATGCCTGCGGCTCGCTGTGGCATTTGGGGATATTCTTGATCGCCTCCATACCGCGCCCCCTTGACCTCCACCTCCACATGAAACTCCACCTCCCCTCGGCCCCACTTCGCGATGGAACAACAATCCCAGTGCCGACAGCGCTGAGTCTTCACAATATCACTTATATTGCAAACCACCCCAACTGCTCAGGTGCTGCTCAAGCCTTCACACAGAGCTCGTGGTCGCAATCATGTCTTCCGGCGGAATGTTCAACAATCCTATAATACCTGGCTTCAATCCAGATCCTTCGATCTGTCGAGTGAACGATGATTATTATCTGGTGACTTCTACATTCGAATACTACCCAGGAATTCCAGTATACCACAGCAAAGACCTTTTGCAATGGAAGCTCATTGGTCATGTCATTACCAGGCATGCACAGATTAACATGCGAACTACTGAGCCATCTGGGGGGCTATGGGCGCCAACCATTCGTTATCACAAAGGGCGTTTCTATGTATCCCTTGGGTGCACCCATCGATTCCGACCGAAAGAATGGGCAAGCTTTCCTCCCAGACTAGGTTCCGTCGGCGAAAAAATCTAACATGCTGCAGGATATCGTCATTCCTCGTGGTTTCTATGTCTCAACAACTGACATTTGGGACTCATCTTCCTGGTCTGACCCGACTTACTTTGACGTTCCTGGAATTGATCAAGATGTGAGAAATCAGACTAGAAAGAGACTGTTCTTCAGGACAACATTGGCTAATCTTCAAAGCTCTTTTTTGACGATGACGGCAAAGTTTATTTCTCCGCGGTGAACATGATCATTGATCCCCGGGTCAAGAAGCATGGCCTGGGGCTGGCTACTTTCACCGCAGAGATAGACCTTGACAGCGGCCGATGCCTCGGGCCTGTCAAATGGAACCGATTGTCAGATTTCGGTATTGGAATTGCAGAGGGTCCTCACATCTTCAAAAAAGACGAATGCTACTACTTAAGTACCGCGGAAGGTGGCACCGATGAAGGTCATCAGCAGTGGATTAGCCGCAGCACCACCGGGCCATTTGGGCCATGGGAACTAGGCCCCAAGGGGAGCGTGAACCCTGTCATCTTCAACGACGACGATCCTTCCATTCGGAACACCGGACACTTGGACTTTATCGAGACCCCCAACGGTGAATGGTTTGCAGTATTCCTGGGCGTCCGACCTCAAGGCCAAAACTCAGAATTGATTTCCCAGCTCGGCCGCGAAACATTCATGAGCCCCGTGGAATGGGTTGATGGATGGCCAATCGTCAATAATCGACAACCGATCAGTCTTCAGATACATGCGGAAGGGATGCATCTTGTGACTCAGCCAGAGTCTTGGAGAGACGACTTCAAGGAGTCAACGCTCCAGCTTGGCTGGTATCATCTGAGAACGCCATTGAAGAAAGACTATTCATTATCCGCTTCCCCGGGATGCTTGACCATTTTTGGAAACGCGTACCGGATCGATGGATCCGAATGTCCCTCTATGCTTCTGCAGAAGCAGACCAGCTTCTCAGGAGAGTGGAAAACCAGATTGAATTTCTTACCGACAGAGGCAGGCCATGAAGCAGGAACGGCCATTTGGTGGTCCCAGTTCGCTCATGCGTCAATTGGGTTGAGAAAACCATTTGACGAAAGCAAGACAGGCCTTGAAATAGTGGCGCGTTGTTACGATGAGGACGCAGATGAATTCAAGGTAAACCCCTTTGCGACCGTCCATCGCATTACATGAGCTGATTATTTTCAGGAAACTTTCCACCAACTGCCACTGAAAAGTCACACTGTTGAATTTATCATCCGTGCATTCCCTACAGAATATGAGCTGTGCTTCTCGGTGCTAGACGCTAACGAAGCTAGCACCAGTACCGTCAAGCTGGGCCAGATATCCAGCAAAGCACTGACGCACCGCGTATCTGGAAAGGAATCTCCCAACACTGGTGCCCATTTCGCAATCTATGGACAGGGCGCGTATGATAAGCCGTGCTTTGACCCGGCGCGCTTCGAGTTTGTTGAATGGAATGTGATTCCTGCCCGTGATTAAATATTTACCACCCTCCACACCCGTGGACCGAACAACGGATGGTTTTTTGACATTATAAAAGCGCACATTTTTTCAAATTCCAAGTTCTCATTCCTCAACTTTTCATTGACGATAGGCCTACAAGAGTATGGTACCTTAAGATGTAGGCGTCAGATATTGGTCCGACCTGGGAGTATTTTACCCAGGGTGATCCTGCATTTGCGTTTACAGGTCTAGCTCTTGTCAACAACCCTGGAATTTACACTCAGTTCGCCGGAAAGCCTCTCCCTGACCTCGGTACTGAAATATCACGCCATAAAGAGGTACTAGAATATTACCCTGAGATGACCAGCCGACTGGCTTCTCCTCCCTCCTATATGAACACACAGTTTTATTTAAGTCCTGGAGATATATCTTAGCGAGACAAGTGTCGCTCCCTTCAATATTCTTCAACTTGGAAACTACTACGACTCGATTACTATTTGACAGGTAGGCTCGAAGGCGGGTATTGTGATTCCTGATGCAATAATTGACCCGAGATAGCTTTGTGCAGGCTTCAACATGCGGGCCCTAACCTGCACGGAACACGAATATTATTTTGACACGCGAGAAGCGATCGAGCACCTTCGTCGCTTCCATGTTGATTTCATCAAACGTCCCGGGCGACCCGGAGAGATTGATGCACACAATCATATGTGGTACTGCTTTGAGTGTAGCTCTGGTTTTAAGGATCACCGCAGCTACGATTCTGACAAGGCTATGTGGGCACATCTCAGGCACCATCACAATGATAGTGTTGATTGTATCATTCGTTCCTGAGACGCCGATTTTGTTGTGAACACCTGGTCAGGTGACAATGTTTCCCTAGCCCTGATAGCTCGCTCTCTCCTTCTCTTTGCTTTTCCCTTCTTCGCGACTATCTATCTGAGTGGATTTCCATCACTTCTCTCTGGCATCTCCCTTCCATCAGTGGATGTCTCATCAGATTTGAATTTACAGGCGTGATGGGAAACGTCTTCAATCAGAGAAAAAAATTCCACCTTGACAAACTAGCCAGTCTTGCCGATATTCCAAATATTCGATCGTAAGGCCTGCCCGGGTGCGTGTCGGAAATGACCTTCAGCACTTCAAGCCCTAGAGGTTGCCATTTTTGCCCCAAATGCTCCAATGCACCAATCAAGAAAGTGATCAAAACCTTGACTGCGGTTTTCCTCAGAGCCCTCCTAATACTTGAGCTTGTTGGGCATTATAAAACTACACATTTTTTCGACCTCTCATTTTTCAACCTTGTCATTAGCGATATGTTTACAAGACTATACTGCCTAAGATGCATATTGTCGAAGATTGGTCCGACCTGGGAAGATTTTAGTCTCAGCCCCAGGGCGATCCTGCGTTTGTATTAACAGGTCGCGCTAGTCCTTGTCAACGACCATTTACACCCAGTTCGCTGGAGAGCCATGATCCCCCTGACCTCGGTACTACACTATCACACCATAAGGTAGCATTGAGGCTCGAAATCGGCATGAGCCGTCGATGGGGTGGTAAGGGGGCGCAAGGCAAGCCGCCAAGAATTTCACCTGATGATATTAAGAGTTCCAGCACTAATACACATAATCATGATATCCATTGATGTTGGTTGCCCATTCTTTATGAGCAGTGGATTGATTGGAGCCTTGACTTGAAATCTATGCATTTCTGGGGGCATTGCACCTAGACTTCCGCATTGGGCTGGGTTGGGCCCGGGGTCCCGGCCGGAGGCCCAACCCAGTCCGGGCTCTGGGCTCAGAGCCTAGGGCCCAACCAGAACCCGGGCCCAGTACCGGGGGCCCAATGGGCCCCTGGGAAAGCCCAGTTTTGTGCATAAAGACGGTCTTGGCGTTCATAAAGCTGCTGATTAATGGGTTTTATGTACGATTGTTTCACCATATAATCTTGCCACTGAACATAGAAAGTGTCGCTGCAAATATATGTATTGGACACTCTTGTTCGCCCGACTTAGAAAAAGGCCTCAGGAGTTTACCAGAACACTATCAAAATCTAGATAGAGTTTTTAAAAGTAATAGTTTTATTCCTTATCTCTCTATTATTATTTAAATCACTATAAATAAGACGTTTTTATAATATTTCAAGGTGATTTTCACCAAAAGTGTAGTAAACTAATACTCAAAGATACTGCCAAGATGTGTATTATTTATGAAAAGGTCGAATCTTGGCATGTTTGTAATGTTTGGGGCCCAATGGGCCCCCGGAAGAGCCCACTGGGCCCTGCCCCTAGGCCCAAAACCGGACACTGGGCTCGAGAGCCGGGCCCGGACCCAACCCAGTACCGGGTTGGGCCCGGGTTGGGTCCGGGCTTTCTGGGCTGGTGCGGATGTCTAATTGCACCTCGGCAAATCAAGGCATATTCAGAACCAAAAATGCCCTGTGGACCCGGAATAAAACAAAGAAACCAAAAAACAAAATAAAAAACATACAACAGTGAGGATTCGCTGGTGGTCACCCACCCAACTACTAACTCACCGGCGTGTGGCTTAAGTACG